ATCAAACTTCGTATTTGCTTACCTGCAAAGAATTCAACAAGGATGACAAAAAAAAAGAGGGTCACTGCTCTATGTTCTCCTTAATACTGGTTTGTCCTTACAAGAAGAGCTATAGTGGTAATTAATATTTACATGATGGTAGTGCCCACAAGCCTGATCATGATTAGGGCTTACTGGACTAAGCTGTGTATAAATGTCACCAGAGTCCCTCGTCCCAGTAGTTTAATCTCTGAGAAAAGAAGAGTTATCTCCTGCTCTCAATCACAGTTGCTCAAGTAATGCTAGGAGGTGTTCTCCTGGTCTATTAAGACTTTACCCATTAAAAGCACTTGTTCAGGGTGTGCTGTTGTTTGAGATGACTTTCCAAGCTATTTCATATTCTAGAAGTGGGACAGAGAATCTGGATTCCCAAACCCTCTGATATATTTTCCTCATAGCCTACACCTACTGAGATCCATCTGAAGTAATTCTGTTCCATGAGTCAAGTGTATCTAGTTTTGGATTTAGTTCACTATAAATTCCCAGCAGAGGTCCTCTGAAATCTAATTTAGTACCTGCCTTCTACTACAAGAAAGGTGTGTCAACTAGAGGAAAAACTGTCCGGCACTCTTAACATCTTTCAGAGGCTCATTAAAATGAGGTAGAACAGAACTGTGAAGCAGTTAATAAAATTAGGAAGGGATTGCTGATGTGCTGTTTTCCACGGTACCAAGCATAATGAAACAAGACAACTGACATCTTAAAAAAGTTTATCTGTCCAAGCATTTTGGGCTCTGAAGCTCATACAACTATAGACGTGTAGAATCACAATCAACTTTGTCAGGTCACAGCACTGCAGAAGATTCAAGTGGCATTCTACCTCTACTGCTGGCTACTATTTTGTTTTGCATAGGAATTGTTCTGCCTCAATGAAAAGATCCAGTGAATAACTGATGTCACAGAATGAATCCATAAACTGAATTCTGAACGACCTAGCAGAGTAGTGATTTCCTCAATTCCAGATACAATCTTCCCCTTTCAACACTGCATGACCTCCAGAAAGCACAAAATAAACCGAAGTTATAACACTAAACCACAATTTCCCCACAATTTACATGGATGCAAGTGGGGACCACCACAACCTCACCTTGTCCACAGCCTCCATCCATGCATGCTCATGCTTCTGCACTTGCGCTCATGGGCTTGCATTAAAGAGCTTAGGGATGGGAACTGGCAGAAAACTCGCCTTACAAAAAGAAGTGGACTGTCTTCTGTTATGTCTGTGGCTCTGTGACTGCTACAGGGCCTGACTGTGAACCCTGGAATCTGCTCTGCCACCATGTCTCAGCTGACAGGATGGTGGCATCTTAAACCCTTCCAGCAAGATCATACAGTCATTTAGGATATGGCTAAAATCAAAACTGCTGTGGTCCCCACTGTCTGTCCCCTTTCCCATCGCAGCTACTGATTCCCATCTCCTCTTCCAAGGTGTCACTGATGCCCATGCAGTTACTCAAGTGATTCAGTCAAAAACTAACCCAGATATAGAGATAGATTATTTTTCATCTGGTTCAGTTCCCCAAGTCAAATCTACTGGTCAGTCCCAGGAGCAACAGTGGAGGAGACGGGATGGCACAGACAGCATGTGGGGGGGCACACAGCAGGACTGCAACTGCCCTGGCTTAAAACAGCTTGAGATGCCACAAAGTCTTTACCTATAGGTTGAAAGAAAAAAGCCTTAGCAGAAACCTGTCTTTCAAAAGCTTGGCAACCTTGGGCCATTTGACCTCACAGCTCAAACAAGCACACCTGACACTAGGCAAAAAAAGGCCTTATCAAAACAAAGTAACAGCAAAAACAGTAGCACCTATTTGAAATTACATTAATATTTATGCTAAATTTAAAAAAAACTAAATTAATTCATGTTTTCTCCTTATTCCATCATCACAATCCAATATGAACATTTATAAATGCACTTATTAAAGACAAAATAAAGGATTAGTCTTCATACACACACAGAGCCTACTGCTGACACAAACTCCTTTACTGCAACAACAAATCTGCAGATATATCATTTGGAAGCTTTTTCCTGTAAGTCTGCTCCAGCTTTCTCACAATAGAAAAAATGTGTATTTTGCTATTATCTCTTAAGTCATGATAAATATGTTCTGTAGTAGTTGTTCTCCAGACAATTTCATTCAGGCCTCTTCCCCTTTATTCCTCCACTCTAATAGGGAACAGTTTCTGTTTATGACTTCCTTTACTTCACAGAGTACCTAACTCCCATGTTTTCTCAAAGGCTTGAGATTTCCTTCTAATTGTGACCCCAACAAAAGTGCTTGGAGCACTATTCTGTGCAACTTTTCATTTGGGCTCTCGGTGACTCCACATGGTCAGAGACCCACAGGTCAAACCCTCCAGATATCAGAGCAGTTAGGAGAAGGAAAGCAAGCATTGTATAGAATCTGACAAGCCATTAGAAGTAGCTAATAAAGCCATATTTTGTTTGTAGCCATTTGTTACCAACCCACATTACAAATTTGTCTGCTTTGAACTTTATGGGAACATTCATGCCAGGACTTTTATATACAATGTGTGAAGGAAACGGAACAACTATTGAGCTGTTTAGCTGTGCTTACTGTGACACAAACCTGCTGAAAAAACTCCCCCAAAGGGTGACACAAACCAGCATTCAGTGCTGCAGAAAGTGGCCAGCTCCTCTTCGAATCCATCAAAGGGAAATTCTTTTTTTAAAGCCACATCAGAGAAAACCATTCACCATTTAGTATTACATCTCTTTTGTTGTTTTTCGACACTTGTATAAGCTTGCTATATAGCTGCTGTGATTTTACACAATGCCCTTAAGAAATAAAAAGATAACGGGCAAATTGTATAAATACCAGAATACCATGAAACAAGACATAACTAAATTTTATTAAAAGCCAAACACCACTGCTATAATTTCAAGCTTCACTGTACAGAGACAACTTACTGACTACAACCCTGAAGAACCACATTACCCTAAAAACAAGCTTAAGAAGCCATATTGAGTATACCAAAACAAAGCTAACTAGAAATACTGAACAAGGAATAGTGATCAAGGGTTTTCATAAGCAGTCTAAAACAGAATACAGAACTCTCCTGCTTCAGGGAAAAACCACCATGTTCAAATCATTACCCCAAATAGACTTACATTAAAGCTTTTAATGTATGGATCATCAAAAAAACCCTTGTTGCTATATACAAAGAATTGAAGTTTTTTTTAAATTTGAAAAACAAAACAAACAAAAACCCCACATCAACACCAAAACACAGAATTACAGTATCCTCCATTCCCCTCCACATGAAAACAGCAGTGTTTTTTGAGTATATAAAGTACTCTGAGGTTATGCATCAAAGCTTTTCAGTAATTAGGTGTCTCAGTAACAACATTCAGGACCAACTCAGAGTTTAAGCTCAGTGGCCAAAATGGTTAACATTCACTGTTAATACAACCAGCATACTCATACCTAGAATAATTATGAGCTACTAAATATATCAAACACTCAGGGACACAGATAATACCCAATACTCTGCTTAAATATCATGATGCTGGAGATAGGACAGAGCATGGATTAAAAGTAGGACAATTGTTTTAGAAAAAACACAGGCAAATTAGCAGAACATTAGTTGATAAATAACTTTACTTCTCTCTACCCTAATAAACACTGTTCATGAAAACCTGAGTGATAAAAAGTCCTTTTTAGTATCCCTGCTTTTTAAACTAGGTAGTTGTGGCCAAAACAGTTCAATGTCCACAGGAGCTACTATTTTTAAGGTAACTGCCTTATTTTTTGAGAACTGTTCAGACAAATTAGTCTGTTTAAAAAAGGGCTCCTGAAAAACTATCAAATTAATACTAGGTTCAAAGCAAATGGATATGTTTTCTCATACCAGTTTCCACAGCTTTTCCTGAGACTTGCATGTCTCAAATGTCATGTAAAGAATTTGTAGCACGTATACTCTCCTAGGTGCCAAAGATGTAACTTTAAAAAGCTATGAAGATGTTTATTGCCCTGTTTTTAAGGATTTACAGTTGTGCCATGTGGCAGAGGTAATATATACAACATACTACCAGATTTCACAAATACATGTGATATCCTGATACAGTAAGCTTTTCAGAGATCCCTCTGCCAACTGCAAATGAATACATACCCAGTGAACTGCAGGAAATATCCTACATGTTTCTGATACATTATTCCAAGCCAGAGGTCACATAGTTTATAAAGTTTTCATCATTTAAGCTGAACATATTCTAGTTGGTTTAAATTCATGCCGGTTTATACCAACAAACAAAAAAATCCCCAAACCACAAGGAGCACACAGAGACAAGGTTAAGTACTTTGTCCATTATAAGATGTTCAAAAATGCAAGCAGTTGCAATGTCTTCACAATGTATTTTTATTTGTGCTGTTTCCCCCACAGCAGAATGTGTAGAGCTCAGAAAAGCTGATAAATATTAGTCCAAAATAATTTCCTAACCAAAAATTAACCTAGCTTAAGTATTCCTGTCATTCCTGCTTCTACACTGGTGTAGTAATAGACAGTAGCAGAATTTAACATGTCAAATTCGTTACTGATGATCAGGGTTTGGAACAGACAACTCTTGGTAACAGTATTCTAAACCATAATTTACTGAAAACATTTGAAAAAGGACACAGAACAATGCCTCCTCCTCACCTCTGGCACAAGCATGGAATTCCTAAAGTTAAAAAATCAATTAATTTCCTCTATGCAAATACACATGTGCAGAAGCACAGAACATGCATGTGCATAAATAGTGCTGTTCTGAACCAGAACAAGCCTATGTTAATTCCACTCATATACAAGCTATCTGTTCCCATATTTTTAAAATCAATTTTTCATCAACCTTATTTAGTATTTCTTCTTTCACTACTTCTTATCTGCTCATCCCAGATGCAATGAACTGGTATGTAAAGTGCTTTCAATTTTAAAATACTGAAACAAACATTATTTCTTACTGGTAAGCTCGATGGTCTTTCTTGCTGGATTAGATTCAAGTCTTCATGGTTAGGCTTTCCTGGGGCCATAGGGGGTTGAGATCTGGTTCCATAGCCTTCCTGAGACATGTCCTGTAACAACAATTGTAGAAGAATTATTAACCTGACTCAGTAATTATAATTAAATCTGCATCACAGAAGGGTGAAAATACCATAGCTTAGTGCTGATGGTCTTTTTGATCTGAAGTTTTTACTAGTTAAACCTTTCTGATACAAGTATCAAGCCGACACAGGTACCAACCACTATGACATGCTGTTTGTAAAGAAAACCAGGGAGCTGAGATGCATGCCAATAACCAGCAGGGAATCATACCACTGGAACATAAGAAAACACAGTAAACCAAACCTCTTAAATAAACAACTCCATTTTACTGTAAAAGAGTAAGTAGCAAGCACAAACATTCATCCTACTCTTAAGACATATCCTCGAGCATTTTGATAAAGTACTGAGCCAGGTGGAAGACTGGACTTCAAAATAGGATTACAATCACGCTGTGTAATCAGACTCCTGTAACAACCCTGGATTTACCATCAGTACAACTGGCGCAAATTTCAAACCCTGGCCATCAGGGCATAGCACACAGCACAGTCGCTGCATCTGCTGGAGGCACATTGTGTCTGAAGGGTTAGAGGGCACATCTATTTGATCAAGAGTAGATCCAAAGCTTGTATCAGTAACCTGAAGATTTTCATCCCAACACAAGCCCAAGTAGTCGTAGTTAATGGCCCAACACAACACCCACCATGCACGGGTGGGGGAGCAATGAAACAAGCTCCTGTCCTGCACCCCATCCCCCACTCCCCAGCACAAGCTCATTTCACTCACAGAAGTACTTGCCCATTGCAAAGCCTTAAATTCAGGCTTCATTTTAGCTTCTATAGCAGCTTCTAAACCAGCTTCTTTAGGGAAAACAACAGAAAGCTCAATACTGACTTCAGCATGTAGAACTGGCAGGGAAAGTTGAAGAACCAGTTCCTGCTAGAAAAGATATCTCACCATTTTCTTTGTTTTTAAATGACTTAACTCTCCTCTCCCCTTCCCTAGTTTACTACCAGTGCAGTTGGCTTCAGCCACCCTCAGGCCTTCAATTTTGTGGCATACCTGAAGCAGGCAGGAGCTGCAAGGCACAGAAGGACAGGGCAAGCTGCCCTCTGCCCCACCCCACCATCACCTTGTCTGTGCAGGCTGCTCAGGCAGCCCAGTGCCCACAGCCACAGCTGCGGCTCATGCATAGACTCCAGAAGGCAGCTGGCTGGCAGAGCAGGAAAGCTTTCTGTCTCCGGTTTTAGCCCAGCTTCTGACAGAGAGAAATTTGTTAACAACTGTACCATTTCCATTCAGCCCCTTCCACCCATTTGGACTCTCATAGATTATTTTAAGAGATGCAGAAAATTCAATGGGGCTAATTAAACAAACCCCAGCAAACCTGATACGATATAAACCCAGCAATAAATGACCCTATCCCTAAGCCTGTGCCAAGTAAAATCAAGAAACACTTAAAAGGCCAGCACTTCAATGTGGTTACCAGCAGAGGGTAACAATTAGGCTTAAGGGTGACAAAGGCTGATGGCTGAATGATTATTATCCCCTGTGACCCCCCGCACTCCCTCCCGCCCAGATTTCCACTTGTCACACAGCTCTCCTGCTGCGCACACCAGCAGGTTCCTGTGGATTAACAGTGAGGTTTAAAATCAACAAATGGCACAAGGCCTCCATTCAGCAGCCTTCACCCCAGTACAAAGGAGCAGAAAGGTGCAGGACAGCTTCACAATAGGCAAACAAATGAGCAAACCTCTGCTTTCCTTTTTATTTAAAAACGCACACACACACACACACCACGCTCACGCACACTGGGGCTGTCACTACACAGGCATTCGCAATAAACCCAGCAACCCCAGATTTCAACTTCCAATTCAGCATTCAACGCCGCTCTTCCTAATTCTTAAAAAATGACACCAAATACAAACCACTTGTCAAAACGACAACAGCAACAACCACAAAGTTATACCAAGAGTGGTGAAAAAGGATAAATGGAATATTCCGTTTAGGAGATGTCATTGTAGAAACACAATTGTTCCTTTTTCCAAATAGACACTACAGGATTTTACTGGGAAGCAAAACATGTTTTACATTTTGAAAATCAAGATTCATTGCTTCCTTACAAAGTACTAAGCATGGGTTTTCCCACATGTTTTCAAGATTTTAACCTTGCTTCCTACTGAAACTTCCAGGGAGATCAGAGCAGAAGAGAGAAGAGACAGTATGCTTTCTTGTGAGAAATACTGCAGGTTGAGTGGAATTTACTTTTACCTGGGTATTTGAAGACTTTGTATGAAATGTCTTTCCACACACTGAAGAGCACATTAAAAAACCCCAGACACAACACTCTTTGTCTTTTTTAATGCATCATTTTCATAGAGCTTTCCATTCTGTCTGAGGAAAAATCAAATCCATTTATTCAGTTCTAGGTGAGGTTTGGAAACACACAGACACTTGTATTTGTTAATGATGCAGGCATCTGTGCACTCCAAATGGGACTGAGATTACAAACTCTTTCTTACATTCTCTGTAAAGCTATGTAGATACTTGGATCATTAGAAACTTGGAAAGCGGCTCTTGAGAAGTAAAGGATCAGTTGGCTCTCAGTAAGCTGCAGGCATGGGAATCTCCCAGATGAAATATGCATGGGACTGTGTGTATAATTTTATCTGTTTATACACATGTATTGCCCAATAAAAACAGTCCATTTATATCCTAAACATAATGATTAAATAATAGCATATTTCACTAAGAGGTTGGCTTCATAACCAAAGTAGTGCTTAGTATCATTTTCACTGAAAAACAGAAGAGAGAAAATCCCTACTGCCTTTCTTCAGTTCTGCATTTGGAAACTTTGTTAACATACAGCATATTACAGAATAGTTGCAACAGATTTTGAGAGATAAATAAGAAATAAGGACAGAAGTATTAGAGCAAATTGTCTGTCACAGAGGAAATGGATGGAATTGGCAATTCTCACAGCTTTGAAAGGTCATTTTTCTTCCTAGCATCTAGCAATGGATTTATCGGGGACTGAACAGAGGGAACATAAGGGGAAGAGGAACATGTTACCACGTGTTGTGCTACCGTCATGGCTGAGGAATTCCCCATTGATACTGGGGCTCAGTCTTCTCCTGGGATTCCTGACTTTTTTTTTTTTTTGATTCCCAGTACTTCATCCATCACTGACATCAGCTTTCAAAACAAAGCTTATGATTTTTTATGAATCACAGAAAATCCTTCCTCCCATAGATGAGCATGTGTGTAAGACAGAAACCCAGGCTTTTATAAACAGAAGGCTACAAGTTTCCACTCAGAACTTCCCAACTTGGCACAAGCCCAATCATATCATAGCTGTTACAGCACTAACTGTCAACAAAGTTGTAAAATAACTAAAGTCAGGGTTTCCCCATCAGATTTTAGAAAAGCACAAGGACAAATAATCAGCAAGTCATAAACATACTCAAAATAGCAGAGGTTTGGACTTTTTTAGACTTTTAAAAACACATTAATGATTAAAATAGGTAGCCAAAAATAAAGAGGACTAGACAGAGCCAAAAGCCTATATATTGCATAATTTGTTCAGAAATTGATCCCTAAATAACTGTTATATTTGTAAAGCAATAATAACAACAACAACCAATTGCTTATCATCCACAGAGCTTGGACTAGTTATTCATCTCCTATTTACGTACACTTTCAGCTTTTTCTGCAAATTGAGGTATATGGAGCTCAAGATGTGTATAGTCTAAGGAGTAAGGGAGGAAATGGGATATTTTCATCCCTCTTGTTCTCTGTTACTGTATTCATCTTATAGACTTTCAAAGTCTCCCATTCTGGTGTGGGATTTCACTACCACAGAGGTTTAAAGTGACAAGTGAGCCTACATACTGGCCTGCAATAAAGTCAAAGGCTCCTTGTTCCTGCCTCCCACAATTCTTGCAGCTGGACACACATCCTTTAGTTTGTATTAGTGGTCTTTATTAGACCACTCTGTTAGATGGTGCAACTTAAAACCTGCCAGGTAAGTAACCCCTTCCCCGTCAGCTTTATCGTGGCTTACTGAGTAGAACTGGCCTTGGGAAAGGTTGGGTGAGCAAGAAAGGAAGGAAACTTCCCTTCTCTGGCAGCAGCCAGCCATGAGCCTGGCTCCACACTTGCAGGAGTCAATTACACTGCAACCACTTTGGATCAGGCCACTGGCAGACAGCTTTTTCCTTTTTTCATGTGCAATGGTAATTAGTGTCATGCTTTCATTCTCTAGCGGGATGTAGCCCAAGACAAGCAAGCCTGTCCACATGGATGTGTTCTATGCAAATCTGAATTAATACGGCACCAAAGATGATTGAAACCATGTAGATGAAATGCACATTTGCTTTAAGTTTTGCCGAAGAAGATTAGATCTAATTATTAAATAGTTTATATTATTTTTTTAATGGAAAATGAAAGCATAGTGAAAATATTAATGTTTGAGGGAAAGCCACATTTAAAGGAGGGCTGGGTGAGAAATGTCATTCAGGCTTCATTCACTTCTACTGCAGTGAGTTTCAGAGGGATAACATGACCACCCAGGAAGATAAGTATCACGATGGTTAAACAGAAAGAAGATAATTTATTGAAAATAATATGCTAGAATTCAATCTGAAAAAAACTCATTAAAAACTATTTTAGCCAATGTTCTTGATTCAGTGGGTTAATCTTAAGAAGACTTCAAGTGCAAGAGCAGCAAATTCTATAGCAATATGACAACAGCAAAACTGAAAACAAAAATTAATTTTTTAATTTTTTTAAATTTTTTTTGCCTCAAATCACTTGAGACTGGAAATCAGAACCCAGTAGAGCAGCCAAGAGAAGTGGACAGCCCTACAATACAAGAGTATTTTGCTCATCTCTGAAGGAATACTACTGAATAGAAAGCAGACAAGTGATATATTAGGGGGCTATGCTAGAAGGATATGCCTTATTACCACTCAACCAAGCATCTGTTCATTCTGTGTAGATAAATATGTATCAACACATCTACTCTATTTCC